GAGTTTTATTCATGTAAAACCCGGAGAGGTACAGATGTGCACATCAGGAGAACTCTGAAATCCCTTGAGATTGAACACAGGTTTTATAGCGTTGTGAGAGGCCAACCCCTCAAATGCTATTGGACAATCTTTTTGGTTATTCATCAGTTTTATTGGTATCACAATGCGTTGTGTAATTCTGATTGGCTAGGGCTTTCGCTATCATCTAGTTTATAATGGTATCTATAAAATGCTCTATGTCTTGGTTCTGGGTTCTAATGGTATCACAATATCTTTATACTTAAAAATAAAATAGAGGCCCCTACCGGGCCTCTGTGTGATTGCATGTGGGTTTCAACAAGTACCATCCACGTGTCTACGTTTAACATGTGTCCTTTTTCCAACCGCTACCATCTCTGTTTAATCCCATAAGTCCTTTTTCCGGCCGCTGTCCGTCTTTAATAAACTTTATGTCTTTTCCCCCGGCCGCTGTCCTGCATGTTTAACAAACTTGTCCTGCATGTTTAACAAACTTATGTCTTTTTCCCCGGCCGCTGCCATCTATGTTAAACATATGTCTTTTCCCCACGTACGCAACTGTTACCTGTGTTTGACAACCATATGCCCATTTTTCTCCAACTAGCTACGTTTGCCTACATTGAACCCGAAGTCTATTCAATACTTCATATAAAACAGATACTACAACATCACAGTTATACCATCAGAAGGGCGGTACCGAGACACAAGGTGTGATATCATAACTTTCGTTTCTCCTAAACCGATTCTCAGCTTAGCTAGCGCATTCCAATGTTTGTGCGTCTTGAAGCCATCAATTTTATATGTTGCATGTTTAGTTTAAAACTATGTATCACAGACAAGACAGACTTTTGACTATAGACCTCACTCTGAACCTTCCAATATGACCGCCAGTTGAACCTTATGAGGTAACCTTGACTTGAACTGCCTTAGCAACGGAACATACTGTTAACACCTTTCGTGAACATCAGAACATAAAAATGATTAAAAGGAATGAAAAGAAACCAAAGACATTAAAACAGTCATCCAAAAA